CGGGCTCGAGGTCTGAATCATAGACAAATTCGGGGTTGTGGTCATCATCGGAGTTGGGGTCGAGGTTGTCTTCGGAGTGGGGGTCGGGGTCGTCGTCGTCATAGTCGAGGTCGGGGTTGGGGTCGTCAAAATAGGATCCTGATTCCGGATCGGGTTCGGGGTCATCAAAATAGGATCCTGATTCAGGATCAAATTTGGGGCCAAAGTCTGCATCTGTAGGAGCTGCGCCATTTGGGCACTCAACTCAGCTATAGTTAGTTGAGAATGAGAGAAGGAGTCGGTGGTGCTACCTCCATGAGGGTTGAAAAAATCATCAACCCCCATAGCGGCGACGGGGGTTTGAAACTAGAGTCAGCAATTCCAAGATTGCCGCTCTGATACCATACTAAAATATGAAAACTATGAGAGAATATTTGTTTGTGGGAATTTTCTATGTATCCTTCTCCTTGTAGGAGGTCATATTTATAATACAACAAAACCTGAATGGGCAAGTAAATAATAAATTCCTAAATCTATTTACAGTAGGAAATCAGGAATTAAAGTAAATCAATTACAAATAAAATAGGAATCCTTGGTGTGTAAGGAAAGTAAGTCAATGTCCACAAGTCACGCCAACAAATTCGGTTTTAGTGCAAAATACGACTTAGGCTAAAAATGATGGCTCATTAAGTCAATATATACTTCATACTAAAATCCCATAAAATCAAGTTTTCTTATTTGATGTATAAGGAATAAAAGCCGCCAAAAATTATCTTGAGAAAATGATTATTCCGAAAAATCATTTTCATACTTAGTCAATATTGCACCTCCGTTAAAAAATTTCTGGATCTGCCAGTGGCCACAACGACATCTCTCGCGGAGTCCCTTGTGTGCAGGACCAGTCTAGTAGTGTAGTTAGAATGAGAGGCATAGAAGTCAGAGAGGGCCATGTTGATGCAGCTCAACTCTATTTTCCCAAACTGGGTATCTAAGTCCAGAACCACACCCACATTGATTGGGACGGTTCTGTTTTGTGCCATGACCAAGAAAATCCTAAAGAATAGGAAGAGAAGAAAAACAGGGTTAGGAGGACACTTGGTCATGTCTGAATATCTTGAAAGGTTTGCAACTCAAGGCATGAGGAAGAAGAAACATGTTTATAAATGGTGAATGGTAGCAGGATTTCGAATGGCAAAATACTTGGTTTGGTTCCCCATGGTAAATGGGAGGAAAGAGGAAGGAACTTTCTCAAACTGCTGATTGCTGATGAGGGAATAAGTGGTTTCCTCCCCCATTCCTAAGAGAACAAGCTTTCATGGTTCTTTGAATATAAGAAAAGAAACCAGTATTTTAGATAGAAAATGTCCCTTACTGAATTATTTTTCTGCACTGGGGGGGCTTTTAGGATTTGGGGACTTCTGCACTGGGGGGGCAGAAAGAGGGAAGAAATCCTAAGAATACCTTATCAGAAAGTAAATGATAGTGGGGTTCATGCCTAAAGCTTTTTGGAAGCTCAAGTTTGTACTCCCAAACTTGTCAACCGCCAGGGCTAATGTCCAAGCAGCATCATAAGCCCATAGTCAAAAACATCCAATTTAACGTTAAGGATAGTTGGAATTTTGTGTTTGGAACTAAAAAGAGTTAGTCATCCTATTCGTCGTTATCCAAACATTAGTCCTTTTTCTCATTGATATTTGACCAAATGGGAACCAAACTTGAAATATGATTGAGCATTATGGAAGAAAAATATTACCGCAAGAATTAACAAGATGGCTCTATATTTTTCACAGGCTCAGACCTCGCGAGGTTGTCGTGTCGTGCCGCGTCACATGGAAGCAAGGGCTACAAAGCCAATCAGAAATCCACGTGTCAGAATCTAGCTCAAGAGCACTCACGGCGAGGTCGGATTAGAATAAACAGTTGGTTTAGCTTGGTGGGGTCCATTTATTCATAGATAAAACAGAAGCTTCGTGGTTCAATTATTCCTGCGGTCTCGTGCGCTCTCTTCTCCGTCCGTCTTTGAAACGAAATGTATAATCCAGGCAGCGAGAGAGAAGAAGACGCCTCACGAAGCTCTCCGGTGCAGATGCGGACATCTTTCATCGGAAAGCACAAAGCAACAAAGTGCGAGAAGTAGCAGCCTCGATCTGATGAGTTGTTGCGGACAACAATGGATTTCGCGGTAAAAGTAAAAATGGCCGAATTTTCATTTCCCATTGTTTATATTTTCCGATGAATTAAGCATCATTAATCGTATTTTTGTTGTTGTAATTTTTTGGGGTTGAGCAGAGATCGAGTTCTTTATCATTGGGCGAGCGTATCTGCGTGGCATTTATACCGTTTATAGCGATCATAGAGGTGTTGGTTTTTGCTGTGACCGATTGCTTCAGCTACCGTCCGCGCGAAACCAAATGCCGTTTCGCTTTGGGCGATATGTCTGTCCTCGCCAATGAAACCAGATGTATGGAATATTTAAAAAAAAATAAATATTCAGAAGATTAAGAAAACTATATATATGCAGAACTTCGAATTGTGAATTATTTCCTTTTGCTTTGGGGATTTTGGAAAAAGAGAAGAAGAAAGAAATGAATAGTTAATGAGAAATTTTGAATGCTGTTTGTGCTGCTTACTTGCATGAAATGATGATGCAGTTACCGTTAATGAGCTGGAGGCATTGTATGAGCTGTTTAAGAAGCTGAGTAGTTCAATTATCGACGACGGATCGATTCATAAGGTCAGCCAAATTTCTCTGAATCATCCAAATTCAATTTTGAAGAAATGTGCTATTTCTTTCTAGTTTCATGCATTGTAATTATTTGGATGATGATTGTGTTGCAGGAAGAGCTTCAATTAGCACTATTCAAAACTCCCTATGGCGAAAATCTTTTCCTGGACAGGGTAAATGCTTCATGCCAACATCTTGAACCACCTGACTAGGATATATATATAATTCCCTGCAACTCTACTTACACGAACAGGTTTTTGCTCTTCTAGGTTTTTGATCTCTTTGATGAAAAGAAAAATGGTGTCATTGAATTTGATGAGTTTGTTCATGCACTCAATGTCTTCCATCCATATGCCCCTATAGATGATAAAATTGATTGTAAGTCTTACTGCTATAAAGGGAAATGCTAAATGGTGTGCGTCTTTCTTGTTGTCTTATGTTTCTTGTTTGTTAATTACTTGCAGTTGCATTTAGGCTCTATGATCTGAGACAAACCGGGTTCATTGAGCGAGAAGAAGTGAGTCTTGTACTATTTTTTACTGCCCAAGTCTCTGAGGAAATTTATGTTTTTATGGGTACTTACGATTCGATACCTTGTATGAACGCAGACACAATATTATTTAAACTAAGTGGCCTCAGTTTGGTTTCAGGTTAAGCAAATGGTGATTGCCATAATGATGGAATGCGACTTGAAATTGTCAGATGATCTTCTTGAGTCTATCATTGATAAGGTAAGCAGTACGTAGTTGTGTAAGTTTGGATGTTGTTTTACTGGGTGGTAATCAGAGCTTGTGGAGAATTTAGTACTCACGGCATCTTCAATTGCCTTGCAGACATTTGCCGACGCTGATGCTGACAAAGATGGTAAAATTAACAAAGAAGACTGGAAGGCTTTTGTGTTTCGACATCCAACCCTGTTGAAAAACATGACTCTTCCTTATTTGAAGTATGTAACTTGCCTGTGTCTCTTTAGATGCTATCCTATTCTGCGATATGCAAACATCCAATCTCACCTTTATTTTCCAGTTACAATCTGACTTGTGTTTGAACCTATGGCTCCTTTTCATGATATCTAATATTGTTAAATTTTTTACTGACTTGCTTCGTTAACCACATCCTCTAGGGATATCACCACAGTATTTCCAAGTTTCATTTTTCACACCGAAGTTGAAGAAGACTGAGAATTTGAAGCCTTTTCCTACAGAGGATCTTTATAAGAACTTAACTCTGAAGCATCAGCATCTCACACGCAGAGCTCTACTTCCATTCAGGAAAATTTTGAAATGGTTTTGTGGCAGATCACTAGTAGCATTGCTGGGAATGGGAGACATCCGAGTGTCGGCACGCTGGGATGGCCGCATCACAAGATTATCCATTTGGATTGAACATTTAAAGCGCTACGAGCGCAGCTATCTCCGTCAATTCAAAGCCTTTGTACAGTGAGAGAGTGGTATTTTTGTAGTGAATTTGAACGTACTAGTGTTTGTAAAAATTTACGGTGCCTCTTGTTAATAGATTTATTACTAAATTCTGTAAAAGATCATTAACTTTTGTTTAACTAAGCAACAGGGCAGAGCAATGTAAGGACCGGCCATGAGGTTTGGGGCCCGTATTAAGCTACCTACCGTCGTATCCCAATTACATTGATACACATGCAAAAGAATTACTACAAATCATCAATAAAAATTTCATTTTTCTTTCTATGTTTGAATCTTATTAATAACAAGTTTCAGAACCGATGAATTGTGACGCAACATAATTTGTATGAGTAACTTCAAACATTGAAAACATATTAAGAAAATTCTACTCTCAAGCAAGAATCGAATAGCAGAGTACGGAAAAAGTAGAAGGGCATGGCTAAAATCCAAACTTGCGTACCTCCAAATCCAAACATTCTTCTTTTTTCTGATCCATTCGATCCTTCACTGATGCAGAGAATCCTCCACTTTGAACAAAAAAAAGAAGAAGAATTCTCCACTGGCCTTGAAACTTGCGACGAAGTTAGAACTTCCATACAACAAAGATGTAATTGTTACGGTATCTCAAGGCAACCATACACTATCATGATATAATAAGTAATCTAAGTGCTAAACTACTGATAAGCATACATATGGCAAACAAGTATCCAGATACACAAACCGAAGTGACCATAAAAATAAAAAAAATAAAAAAAACAAAAATAAAAACCACAAGGAGATCATGCTTTGAAGCTTTCTGAGGCTCTATGATGCAATTTTTGTCCACAACATTATCAACTAATAGAAACTCATGTACAATTTGTACACTCCACCACAATGGAGATTTGTAATACAAATTCAGCTTCACAAAAACCCTTAAGAGAATCTGGCCAAACAAACCAAGGCAAAATTTAATGGTTTATGTGATAGCCGTTAACTCTATAGCATTCGGATTCAAATCACTATGCTGAGTAGAAGTTGTTCCCTGCTGCTCTTCAAGAACAATTTCTGGTTCAATTTGATTTGGTTTGCTTGATCTTGATGGCCTTCTGAGACAGAGACAGTTGGTGTTTGGTGAAGATTCAACCGCAGCTATTCCATGAACACCATCTTCTTTTCTGGTTTTCTTGTAAGCATGCCAAGTCTTGTCTTGTTGATCATATGCTCTTAGTACTTGACGAATTCTTGTCCAAAATGAGGCTTTTGAATCAACGCATGTCAAAATGTGGCTATGCTCATAGAGGAACATGGCTGCAAAGATGAGGAGAGCTAACGATGAAGCAACACCAGCAACAATGAAGAGGCCCCAAAAGCTTTCAAGGCTAAGAGTGTCGTAAGAGCTCGCGGTGTTGGGGTTTGAACAACTTGCTGTTTTCTTGAACCACTTGTCCTCGATGGCCTTCATTTTATCTCCCTCATGCACTTGAGTGATTGCCGTCGAAACATCACGCGTGAGAAGTGAACTTTTTTGGAAGACCTGCAGGTCACACTCAAAAAGAAGAGAGAAGAAAAAGAAAAATCCCAGATCAGTAAAATATGTACTAAACTAAACGGGAGAAAGAAAGCCAGAGAGAAAAACAGCAAGTGATCAACTTACAAAGGCAAAACCATCGGCTTTAAATGTTGGCTCGACCAGGGTATATTTCAAGCAATAAGTTGCAAGAAAAAGTTTCATGTAGGGTGTTTCATCAAAAGCAGCAGAAATACCTCCATTTTCATTCCCGTTCTGAAGAAGTTTATCTAATTCTTCTACGGAATTATAGGTCCTAAGTTTATCTTCCTTAAACCCCAGCTGACTCAAAATCCCACGAATAAAAGAGCCTTCTTGGTAACCAACGTTGTCCCCATTCTTCAAGAAAAGGTTCACATCAGTAACTATTGGTTGGAGCTGTTGAATTGTTAAGATTGATGATAAACTGGCAGTGTAGCTTTGAGTCAGTACGAGGACGACAAAGCACCATATGATCACTACAAACCTACCCAAGTTGCTCACTACTCGTTCCCCTGTTAGAAAAATTCAAGAGAAAACAGAAATGAGTCATAAAATATGTAAACAGTAAGCAAAGCTCATTTTACCATTTGGGTTTTGAGTTTTAAGACATAGACATAAATTATATATATATAAAAGAAAGCGTGGAACTTACGGTGTGCAAAAACCATGGTTGAGAAGGCGAACCAAAAGCTTGTGCCAATTTGGTGATGTGGAGGCCCACGAAAGTCTTCGTTTATCCGGTGTTCAAGAAACCAGACCACAAAACCAATGAATATGAAAAAACAGCCTATTGTAACCCAGAGATCCCACGTCAAAGGCTTCAAGAACACCCATGTGTTTTTACCGCCATCATTGCCTTTGATGGGGACGACCATTGATATCCCAGATTCTGTGAATGGCAATGTAAAGTCAACATACAAGGATCTGTTTGCTCTAATAGTTATGTCTCCAACTGCAGCATCATAGTTCTGCCAAGTAAAAATGCCAATTTGTCAGTGAAGAAATTGGATAATTTTGCTAGAATAAAATGTGAATATCAGCAATAAAGGAAGAAAAAAAAAAGAGAGGCATAGAATGTGAGGTCTACCCCAAGAAACACTTGATTGATCAAACCATTGTAACTGCCAGCGCTCTGCCCATTAGGATTTGCAAAGGGATAAAACTCATAAGGAACAGGATATGGTAATGCTTTTATTACAGCGTCAAAGACTTCTATGCAGTATCCACCAGTGACCTTGGCTGTGTTAGTGCTAGGATCATGTACCACACTTACTAATTCTTCAAACCCTTGCTTCACTGGGACGAGGACTTTTAAGGTCCCGTTCGTGCGAATCTGCCAGCCCCTTGGAGCCAAGGTGGTGTCTCCAGGCCATATAACAGGTCCAAGACTGGCATTAGAAGTAGAGTATCTGTTTGTGTTTCTGTTCGAATTTATGTTTCTCACAAGTCCATTTTGGGGTGTCCAATATCCAATTCCTCTTTCCCCATTATCGTTCACATTAACTACCTGAAAAGTTGATGATTGTAGTTGCCCATTAATAAGACTGAAATCTCCTGAAAGGCCTCTGAATCTCGTACCTGATAGCTCTCGGACAAGTTCAGGACCGCCTTGAGAGACCTCTAAGCTTCCCAAAACAGTGTAATTATGAGAACTGTTCATCTTTTGGAAGCTGAAGTTTGTACCCCTGACCTTCTCAACCGCCAGGGCTAATGCCCAAGCAGCATCATAAGCCCATAGTCCAAAAACATCCAATTTAACGTTAAGGATAGTTGGATTGTCTTGTTGGAATTTTATTTGCCATCTAGCTCTAAAATTTTCAAGTTCTTTTGTGTTTGGAACATTAGTCTTTATACCTAACACTCCTTGCATGTTATATATATCGACAGAAGAACTGGAGGAACTAAAAGAGTTAGTCATCCCATTCGTTGTTATCCAAACATTACCTTCCTCCATCATGCCAATGTCTCTTGCCTTAGCAAAAAACCGAGAGCCAAGTGAAGGCGACATGTGCACTATGAATACCCTGGTTTGCATTGACATCAACCTGTGAAGCTCTTCAATAATTTGGTCATCAGTGGCCATTGAAGGAATGAGACTCCAATAAGGGATACCAGCACCAACTTCTTGCAAGGCAGTAGTCAGGTAAGGTGTTAGTCCCTCCCCGAACTCATTGTCAATGCTGACGGGCACTGCTTCTCTCCAACCAAAAGCTTGGATGAGGGCACCAATGGCTCTAACTTGAGATGAGTCATTCTGTGCAATTCGGAAAAAATATGAACCCCGGAGAGAAGGGCTTGTTGCTGAAAATGAGATTATGGGCACCTGAGCTTGATCTCCAAGATCAATTACAAAGTTGGCTTGCATTGATGATTCTAGCCCTATGATGGCTTGCACTTCAACATTCTTTATTAAGTCTAGCGCTGTTTCAAAGATGAGAGTTTTAAGTTAAGTTACACGCTGATACAATTTTAATTCTTTGTGCATCAATTGATGGTTCATTATGAATCCGATGAAGTATTACAAACACAACTCTAATCTAAGCCACTTTCCCCAGCAAGTACTTCAAGATATGATACCTTTAACATGCTAACTAATAAATAATAAAAAATAAATTGATGGTTAAAAAATACTCGGGTGAAACAAAAAGCAAAACATTAAAAAGAGAAGATCAATAGAGAGAACCTGCATCAGCTGCCACAACAACATCTCTAGCGGAGTCCCTTGTGTGCAGGACCAGTCTAGTAGTGTAGTTAGAATGAGAGGCATAGAAGTCAGAGAGGGCCGTGTTGATGCAGCTCAACTCTATTTTCCCAAACTGGGTACACACCCACATTGATTGGGATGGTTCTGTTTTGTGCCATGACCAAGAAAATCCTAAAGAATAGGAAGAGAAGAAAAACAGGGTTAGGAGGACACTTGGTCATGTTTGAATATCTTGAAAGGTTTGCAACTCAAGGCATGAGGAAGAAGAAACATGTTTATAAATGGTGAATGGTAGCAGGATTTCGAATGGCAAAATACTTGGTTTGGTTCCCCATGGTAAATGGGAGGAAAGACGAAGGAACTTTCTCAAACTGCTGATTGCTGATGAGGGAATATAAGAGAACAAGCTTTCATGGTTCTTTGAATATAAGAAAAGAAACGAGTATTTTAGATAGAAAATGTGCCTTAGTGAATTATTTTTCTGAAGAGTAGCAAACTGGATTATTATAGTAATCATAGAAGTAAAAGGAGAACAATGGTGACTTCATTGACTCAATGGCAGAGTTTCTTCGTACTTACATCGTTTCCTCTCTTGACCCAAAATGTCAACCAAACTGTCCTTCTCAAAAGCAGGAGACTTAGTCACGAGTCAAATGACCTGCTTCAGTGACAATTTGATAAAACTAATTAATAAGCTCAATGCAACATTTAATATGTATTAGTTGTTTTCCTTTGCAAATAGGTTCATACCAGAACCTTCATTTCACCACAGTAAGAAAAGCTGAGAGGAAGACCATATCAAAGCTTAAACCCAAGCCAACTGGGGCCCCACTCTACCAACGAGAAAGGCTTTTATGATTTGGGGACTTCTGCACTTTGGGGGTAGAAAGAGGGAAGAAATCCTAAGAATACCTTATCAGAAAGGTAATATGACTTCTGGTTTTTGCTCAGTCAGTTGTAATTGGAAATGGTAAAAAATGTGATTTACTGTTATCAGCACAATGTGAACTAACTTGACTTTTCATAAAGCTTCAGGTCTTATGGGGATGAAAGCCAAACAACTCAAGTTTCAACTCTTTTGGTACCTTCACCTCCAATCCATCCCCCAGGTCCAACATAGTCGCTTCAGGTGGCGTTGAAGACCATTTGCTCAAGACTATGCACATTTACCACCCTTGATGTAACTGTCCGCAGGAGAGGCGAAGCCTTCAGGAAGGGGAAAACCCACATCAACTCTAAAGCAGGGCTAGGTTTCTTGGCATTCTTTGCATCTGCAAATTCAAACAAATTACCACAAAGATACATGGCATTACAAATTTAAGTTAATTACATCCTACAGTAATGAATTTACATTTTTTTATTTGAGATACACGAAAGAGCCAGAAGGGCTAGGTTTCTTTCTTGGCATTCATGGGTAAGGGAGCATATCAATAACAAATTTTAGAATTTTACACTTCTAGAACCGATGTATTGTGAATAAACTAGTAGTTTTGTCACAGGTAAGCTAGTTTTAACGCACAACAGAGAATTGGTACGATTAGCCTAAACATTAAGATCTGATTAAGAAGATTTTCTACTCTCATCTCAAGCAAGAATCGATATATAGCAGAGTACGGAAAAAGTAGAAGGGCAAGGCTAAAATGCAAACTTGCATACCTCCAATTCCAAACATTCTTCTTGTTTGTGACCCATTCGATCCTTTACTGAGGCAGAGCAGTCAGATTGAGAAACAAGCAGGATGGAGAAAGGACTCCACTGGCGAAGAGGAGAAGAAATTCCATGCAACATGTATTCTACTGTGGCGATATCCATGACAATCATGCGCTGCTATTTCAATGTAGATAGATACAAGCGATATTAGAGGAGAGGGGATTCGGACACTGGACCTTCTGTGAGAAAGGCAATTCAAGCACTGGACCTGTGTGCTTGAATAACTGCTCCTACCCTACTATTTTTGTGAAGGACCATTTCTCAGAAATAAAAATCTAAAATTACCACTCTCTCCCCCATATCCTTGAGAGAGGCACCTAGCTTTTGCCGTTATCGCCTCCAAACCACGCCACATGCGCAATATTCCCCATAATATCATTCATACCCTACGCTTCCCAAAATCAGTCTTCATCTTCCTCTTTTACAGCTGGTTGTAAACCTCGATTAGTGATTACTAATTATGTATCTTGTTAATAGATTCATTAAAGTTACGAAATCATGTATTAAAATCATAATTAGCAATGTAAGACATTTTATTTATGCTACCGTCATATCTTATATAATTTAGGCTCGTAACCAAGAAACATCAAAACCACTGCTGCATGCATACATCTTATATACTACACAATAAAGATTTAAACTACAAATTAAGCTTCAAACAAACCATAGCAAGAATCCATGGTTTATGTTATAGCCGTTAACTCGATACCACATTCAATTTCTTGGGTTGCTTGAACATTCGGATTCAACTCACTAGGCTGAGTACAAGTTGTTCCTTCCTCTTCAAGAACGATTTCTGGTACAATCTTATTTGGGTGCCTTGATCTTGATGGCCTTCTGAGGCAGAGACAGTTGGTGTTCGGTGAAGATTCAACCGCAGCGATTCCTTGAACATTATCTTTTTTGCTTTTCTTGTCTTCTTGGTCATATGCTCTTAGTACTTCACGAATTCTTGTCCGAAATGAGGCTTTTGAATCAACGCATGTCAAGATGTGGCCATGCTCATAGAGGAACATAGCTACATATATGAGGAGAGATAGTGATGAAGCAACACCGGCAACAATGAAGAGGCCCCAAAAGCTATCAAGGCTAAGAGTGTCGTAAGAGCCAGCGGTGTTGGGGTTTGAACAGCTTGCTTTTTTCTTGAACCACTTGGCCTCGATGGCCTTCATTTTATATGCCTCGTGCACTTGAGTGATTGCCGTTGAAACATCTAGTGTCAGAAGTGAACCTTTTTGGAAGACCTGCAGGTCAAAAAGAGAAGAAGAAAAAAAATCCCACATCAGAAAACATGTATTAAACGAGAGAAAGCCAGAGAGGCTCTGATAGAGAGAGAAAAACAGCAAGTGATCAACTTACAAAGGCAAAACCATCGGCTTTGAATGTTGGCTCAACAAGGGTATATTTTGAGCAATAGGTTGCAAGAAAAAGTTTCATGTAGGGGGTTTCATCAAACGCTGCAGAAATACCTCCATTTTCATTCCCGTTTCGAAGAAGTTCATCCAATTCTTCTGCGGACCTATAAGTTCTAAGTTTATCATCCTGAAATCCTAGCTGGCTCAAAATCTCATAAATAAAAGAACCTGCTTGGTAGCCAACATTGTCCCCATTCTTCAAGAGAAGATTCACATCAGTAACTATTGGTTGGAGCTGTTGAATTGTTAAGATTGATGATAAACTGGCAGTGTAGCTTTGAGTCAGTACCAGGACAACAAAGCACCATATGATGACTACAAACCTACCCAAGTTGCTCACTACTCGTTCCCCTGCTAGAGAAACTCAAAAGAAAACAGAAATGGACGGCCATGAGTCATAGAATATGTAAATGGTACACAAAGCTCATTTTTCCAATTGGGTTTTGAGTAGTTTTGGTTAGTTGGACAAGTGGTTCTACAAAGCATTAATCACCACTAAAGACTAGAAAATAGTTTAACATGAAGGGAGCTTACGGTGTGCAAAAACCATGGTTGAGAAGGCGAACCAAAAGCTTGTGCCAATTTGGTGATGTGGAGACCCACGAAAGTCTTCGTTTATCGGATGTTCAAGAAACCAGACCACAAAACCAATGAATATGAAAAAACAGCCGCTTGTAACCCAAAGATCCCATGTCAAAGGCTTCAAGAACACCCATGTGCTTTTAGCGTCATGTTTGCCTTTGATAGGCACCACCATTGATATTCCAGATTCTGTGAATGGCAATGAGAAGTCAACATACAAGGATCTGTTTGCTCTAATAGTTATGTCTCCAACTGCAGCATCGTAGTTCTGTCAAGTGAAAATGCCAATGTTTCAGTAAAGACATTGGATAATTTTGCTAAGAATAAAATGTGAAATCAGCAAGAAAAAAGTTATACCCCAAGAAACACTTGATTGACCAAATCATTGTACCTGCCAGCAATCTTCCCATTAGGTTTTGCGAAGGGATAAAACTCATAAGGAACAGGATATGGTAATGCTTTTATTACTGCGTCAAAGACTTCTATGCAGAATCCAGTGACCTTGGTTGTGTTTGTGCTAAAATCATGTCTCACAGTTACAAATTCTTCAAACCCTACCTTCACCGGGACCAGAACTTTTATGGTCCCATTCGGGCGAATCTGCCAGCCCCTTGGAGCCAAGGTGGTGTCTCCAGGCCATATAATAGGTCCAAGACTGGCATTAGAAGTAGAGTATCTGTTTGTGTTTCTAGTTGAAATTATGTTCCTCACAAGTCCATTTTGGGGTGTCCAATATCCAATTCCTCTTTCCCCATTATCGTTCACATTAACTACCTGAAAAGTTGATGATTGTAGTTGCCCATTAATAAGGCTGAAATCTCCTGAAAGGCCTCTGAATCTTGTACTTGATAGCTCTCGGACAAGTTCAGGACCGCCTTGAGAGACCTCTAAGCTTCCCAGATCAGTGGAATTATGAGAACTGTTCATCTTTCGGAAGCTGAAGTTTGTACCCCCAACCTTCTCAACTGCCAGGGCTAATGCCCAAGCGGCATCATAAGCCCAAAGTCCAAAAACATCCAATTTAACGTTAAGGATAGTTGGATTGTCTTGTTGGAATTTTGTTTGCCATCTAGCTCTAAAATTTTCAAGCTCTTTTGTGTTTGGAACATAAGTCTTTAAACCTAACACCCCTTGCATGTTATCTATGTCGACAGAAGAGCTGGAGGTACTAAAAGAGTTAGCCATCCCATTCGTCGTTATCCAAACATTACCTTCCTCCATCATGCCAATGTCTTTTGCCTTGGCAAAAAACCGAGAGCCTAGAGAAGGCAACATGTGCACTATGAAGACCCTGGTTTGCATTGACATCAACCTGTAAAGCTCTGCAACAATTTGGCCATCGGTGGCCTTTGAAGGAATGACACTCCAATAAGGGATACGGGCACCTACTTCTTGCAAAGCAGTAGTCAGGTAAGGTATCACTCCCTCCCCAAACTCATTGTCCACGCTGATGGGCACTGCCTCACTCCAACCAAAGGCTTGGATGATGGTACTTATGGCTCTAACCTGAGATGAGTCATTCTGTGCAATTCGGAAAAAATATGAACCCCGAAGAGAAGGGCTTGTTGCTGAAAATGACATTATGGGCACCTGAGCTTTATCTCCAACATCAATTACAAAGCTGGCTTGCTTTGATGATTTTAGCCCTATGATGGCTTGCACTTCAACATTCTTTATTAAGTCTAGCGCTGTTTCAAAGGTGAGAGTTTTAAGTTAAGTTACACACTGATGATATTTTAATTCTTTGTGTATCAATTAATGATTCGTTACGAATCCAATGACGTATTACAAGCATGACTCTAATCTAAGCCGCTTTTCCCCAGCAAGTACTTCAACAAGATATGATACCTTTAACATGCTAATAAATAATAAAAAAGAAATTGATGGTTCAAAAATATTTGGGTGAAACAAAAAGCAAAACATTAAAAAGAGAAGATCAATAGAGAGGGAACCTGCATCAGCTGCAACAACAACATCTCTCGTGGAGTCCCTTGTGTGCAGGACCAGTCTAGTATTGTAGTTAGAATGAGAGGCATAGAAGTCAGAGAGGGCCATGTTGATGCAGCTCAACCCTATTTTCCCTAACCGGGAATCTAAGTCAAGAACCACCCCCACATTGATTGGGATGGTTGTGTTTTGTGCCATGGCCAAGAATATCCTAAAGAATAGTAATAGAAGAAAAACAGGGTAGGGAGGACACTTGATCATGTTATCTTGGTCTTGGAAGGTTTGCAGCTCAAGGCATGAGAAGATACTTGTTTATAAATGGTGAATAGTAGCACGATTTTGAATGGCAGAATACTTGGTTCCCCAATGGTAAACGGGACGAAAGAGGAAGGAACTTTCTCAAACTGCTGACTGTTGAAGAGGGAATAGGAAAGAGTAGTTTCCTCTCCCCATTCCTAGGAGAACAAGTTTTCATGATTCTTTGAATATAAGAAAATAAACCAGTATTTTTCTGAATTGTAGCAAACTGGATTATTATCGTAATCACACAAGTAAAAGGAGAATAATGGTGGCTTCAGTGAGTCAATGCCAGAGTTTCTTCGTACCTACATCTTTTCCGCTCTGAACTGTCAACCAAACTGTCCTTCTCTAAAGCAGGAGACTTGGTCACGAGTCATATGAGCTGCTTCAGTGACAAAACTAATTAATAGGCTGACTGCAACATCGTTGTCTAAGAATTTTCAAAGCGAATAACTTCATATTCAAGAACCTTCATTTCACAATACAGTATGAAAAGCTGAAACAAATAAATATTCTTTTAGGGCCTTGGGCCCCCACTCTGCACTGGGGACAGTGGAAGCATCAGGGAGAGAAATAGGGAAGAAAGCAAGTTGCTTAAGATTCCCAAGCAGGGCTAGGTTTCTTGGCATTATTTGCCTCTGCAAATTTAAACATAATATCACAAATATCACAAAGATGTATGCCATTACAAATTTAAGTTAATTACATCCTACAGTAATTTATTTACAATTTTTTAACAACAAATTTTAATTGTGAATAAACTAGTAGCTTTGTCACAGGTAAGGTAGTTGTAACACAACAAAGAATTAAAGACAGATTAAGAAGATTCTACTCTCATCTCAAGCAAGAATCGAATAGCAGAGCATGGAAAAGGTAGAAGGGCAAGGCTAAAATGCACACTTGCATACCTCCAAGTCCCAGCATTCTTCTTGTTTCTGATCCATTCGATCCTTTACTGAGGCAGATCAGTCAAACTGAGAAACAAGCAGCATGGAGAAGGGACTCCACTGGCGAAGAGGAGAAGAAATTCCATGCAACATGTATTCTACCGTGTCTGTGTCGATACAATCATACACTGCTATTTCAATGTAAAAAATGGATATTGGAAAAGACTGGATTCGAACACTTGAAGTTGTGTGTGCGCGAATAACTTGCTTTTGATTATTTGAGCTACAAGTCCTTATGTGAAGTGAGTTTCTGAGTTCTTAATTTACCATTTCTCGAAAATAAAAATCTAAAATTACCGCTTTCTCCCTGTCATTATCTCGCCTTCAGAGGCATCTAGCTTTTGCTGTTATCTCCTCCAAACCCCGCCACGTGCACAATATTCCCCATATCAATTCATTCATACCCCACGCCTTCCCAAAATCAGTCCTCGTCTTCCTCCTCTCACAGCTGGTTGTAAACCTCGATCAGTGATTAGAGATACAGCAATGGCGGACAAGCCAAGCCGAGCTGTGGTTTTGTACGGAGATGGGTTGGTCCGTTTCGTCGACCCATCACACATCCATCTCCACTCTCTCGCTTCTAAAGCTTCCTGTGGCTTCTTGAGCCTCCCCATTGCCCCTCCCTCAGGTTTTAACTCTTTCAATGTCTCTTGCTCTCTCTGAAAATTATTCTCTTTTAATAGATAATTTAATTATTAATAACATGAGGCTTGTTTTCTTCTCAAGTGAACTCTAGGGTTCGATCAAGTTTGTTGATTTGTCATATGCGACCTGAAATGCAATTCAAATCTACTTCTTTTTGGTATTTGGGTCTTCGAAAAATCGGCCTAGGCGCTAGGCGGGCGATTTCACTCTAGACGCCCGCCTAGGCGGCCTGGGCGGGTCGGGGCCTTTTTTTTTTTTTTTTTTTCTTTAAGGGAAAACCTCGCACGGCCTCTCTCTCCTCTGAGCGGTCGCCTGCTTCTCTCTCTCTCTCTCTCTCTTCTGAGGGTTCATTTTGGCGTGCTTTTACTCCTTTCCTTTCCAACTTCCCAGCACCGGGATTTACTTGAATTTAGATTGCAGAAAGCGAGGATGAGAGAATAGTTAGAGAGTTTGCATTACTGCTGGATGCATATGAAGCTTACCATGATACAGTGAGATCCACATCTTTGGTTACCATATCAGAAAGGTAATATAACTTTTGGGTTTCACTCAGTCTGTTGTAATTGGAAATGTTCAAAAAAAAGTTTTGAACTTTTAACAACCCAATGCCAACTAAGTGACATTTTTCATAATGCTTCAGGTTCATGGGGATGAAAGCTGCGATATTTACAAACAATGCAAGTTTGAAATCTTTTGGTACCAAACTTGGTTTCAGCGTGTTCCAAATCGATGCTCTTTATGGTACTAACCCGCCAGTTGATTTTGGGGCATCTGAGTTACTTAAGTTGCTTGGGTTTCAAGTAGGGAAGACAGTGGAGACGAGCCAGTACGATTTAGTTTTTGTGCATGTTGGGGCTGGTGAGGTGAATGTTGAAAAAGACAAGGCTACTGATGATATGGGATATCTCAATGCTTTGGTTGGTGCTATAACGCAAATAGCCCAACCTGGATCTGAAATTGGTGCCCGTTTGCACTTGTCTGTTGTGACGAGCTATGGGAAGGTCTCAGAAGAGGATGATCCCAACTTGTCAGTCTCATTTAGAAAAGATGATGAAAAATCTGATCTTTCAAAGCTTGTTCCTCGTCAAAGTTACACCATGAAAGGATCTCAACCACGAAAGGATGTTAGGTGAGTAAAAACTTGGTGGTTTCTTGCACACTTGAAATACCTTTAGTAACTCCAGCTATCCTTTGTGAACAGGCACCATTGCCCAATGTTAATTGCTCAGTGGCAATATGCAGTAACTCGCAAGGATATGGCTGAGACATTCTCATTTAAGGATTTCAAAGAGGTACAATTTGAGATTATCAGATATTGAGTTTACTGCATGGCACATGCTGGAAATTGTTAAGAGATTTACTGATATAACTGACTCCTGAGTTGATCTTCTCTACTGTACTAGCCTAGCTAGGAGCTGATACATTATCTGGTCATAAGTCTCATGTTGAGTTAAAAGATTTTCAATTTCACTTAACTATGATACTTTCACTAGAATGGCTGATTGCATGTTTACAAATGAATTATGAAATTTGTTCCTTTCTATGCAGTACGGTGGAAATCTTGTGATACCAGCAGATAGGTTTCTGCACGAAGTGGCCTTCAAGCTTTGGAAGGCCCCGAAATATGGAGCTTGAGAAGGCAAGTTTATACAAGACTCTGTAAGCAAGGAAGCTAAACCTGAGGGGCAGAGCATCCCGTTGCTTATCTAAAATGTTTTCCTAAGCATTTCTCAACTTTAACTTGCCTTACCGGACCCTACATGTAATAAGATTAATCTGTATGTGACCTCAAACACCGCCCGTGTTGGGCATTCCCCACTGCAAATTGGGGATAGAAAATTTTGTTCATTTTGATATTTAATGATAACTCTGGAAATTAGAGAATTCCATCTGCCGAATAGGCCAGTTATGAACACTCAAGTTAATCTTCCATTACAATAGATGAAGACCACTTGCAATACATCGTTTTCCATAACCTAAATTCAATAGAAAGAACCTAAAAACTCCCCAAAATGAGAAACAAGACCATGCCATATGGGCATTGAAGATTTACCCATTTTACAATTTGCTGTAGCTGCAACAGAGAGGGTACAAAGTCAATAAGCTTTCCAAATCAATCAACTATAGTTAAATAAGTTGACTCAGCTTGAAATCAGAAACAATATTCACAGAAAAACCTATAGCAAAATTGTATCAGGAACCACAGAGTCATACAGAGGAACTTTACTACATAACATCTGTTTACTCCTCCAAGCTGTTAGTGTGAAAACAGGAACTAGCACTCTAACAAGGTCTTGAAACAATAATTTGCCAGTAGAAACCACACCACGAGGAGGAGAGAGAAAGAGAGAAGCGCAACCAAGAAAGGCCATCCAACCATGAAAACACCTAGAGAGAGCACCAATAGAAAAGGGAGGAACGACCTCAAGACGGACATGGCGTCAACCCATTGCCCCTTGAGCAGTACTAAGCCTGCCACATTGATCATGTTCCAACTCATTGATCCACCATAGAATAGCCGATTCAGACAGTTGGCTACGAAAGAATGGCAGTTGCAAGTGAAAAGGTTGTAGGTTTTGTGTTCGAAGTACCGTGAACTTGACTGCAGGGCATCATCCCATGTGATTGCCGTCCCAAACTCTGCATGCTTGTAGCCACTCTTGCAAGTGTGGCCACCCAGATTTGCGGCAAAACAACACTGTTTTGACATTTCAGATTCCATTACAAAATTGTCAAAGGATCAACAGGTTAAGAAGTCAATTCTAGTTCTTTCTTCCAAAGTAACAAGCAAATAGACAAATGCTTGATTTGGCTACAGTTCTAATTGCTGTTCATCTAAGCGAGTACTTTTAAGATGCATTTAAATGCCTTTCACGAACAATTTTAGATCAAACTAATGAATACCCTTAGGAGTTTGTGTTTAGAGAGCCGGGAGGAAGGGGGAGGGAGCACAAAATTATTACACAATATGGCGAATGTGAGAACAACATGACACAGTACCTGTGTTCTATCAAGCTGTAGATATCTGGCTACAGCACCAAATGCGAAATTATCGGCATTCACAAAATTGGAACCTGCGAAATCTAAAATAGCTCCATCCTCCCTGCAAATGCCAACATGTCCAATGAAAGGTGCCAACCAAGAGACTATTGGGAGAGGAGTCCAAACCAAACAACAGGGAAATTTTGCCTTCTTTGGATCAATTTCATCAAGAGGCCACAGCTCATGCTGGATACTCTGTGTAGACCTCATATGCTCAACGTCATAAGCTTCTTTTACCTCCATTACAGGAAATCTAATGCGCTGCATATGCTCTGTTTAAAATTTTATGGAGAAGCATCCCAATGTCAAACTACACCTTCAGACATTCTAATTTTGTCTCCCAATACAATAAGCAAATCAGTTCAATCTGCCATAAACACAATGCAAAGCCTTCTTTAAAAAGAATCAGAAAGATTAGTTAGTCTATGATACATAAACTAAAAAATGAAAGATTACTGTTCGCTTTAATGGTTTGATTTTGTACTTCCTGAAAAATACATTGCAGGCCGAAAATACCCAAGTCTTAAAATTTAGCTCAGAAAAGGAAACATCGGCTTCCAGCAATGCAACTTTAAGCTGAGAAACACTGAATCACATCAATTATGTTTACTTTGAGGAAATGGGTGGCTTAAAATTCCAATCTTTAAGACTTTCCAAAGATTATCTCGCTAGCAGACAATACCCAAATGGGCTTTCCATAAAATTCGTTGATACATTGAAAGAAAACAAGATCCAAACCACACATAATGCATTTGGGTCAGCAAAGATTAGAGCTTTGAGCAAAGATCTTACGCTACTGACCTGCAGAGGATGGTGATAGCTGTGGAAAATATGAGACCGCCTCAGTAAGGTAAAATTCGGTGACAAGGAACAGGAAGAAGTTGAAGAGAAGGAGAAAGAGAGAGAACACGAATAATAATAAGAAGAAGAAGACGAAGAGGAGCTATTCTTATTGGTCTTGTTATTCTTCATTGTTGCCGAGACACAATAACTGGTTGATTATATTTTGGCTGAAAAAATGAAAACCGATCAAAATTTTAATATCTTTTAATTTTTTAATTTTTTGTTTAAGACTTTCTTTTTCTCATTTTGGAAACGATGAAGGAGAAGGCGAAAACAGGGCAAAGGTGCATGAACCTCTCTGAGATTCAGCCCCTCAGTGGGCCCACCGCCTTCCTCACTTAATTGTCTTTGCCTCCTTCGCCATCTTTTTCTAATCTTTTTTATTCTCTCTTTCCGTCCTTAGAAAACGGTTGGCTTCGTTTGTTGTTGGGTTTGTAACTTACTTCATAAACTTACCCGCCAAAGTAGTTACGTTGTCTGTATGTAACTTCTCATCATAAAATGTAAGCGACCACATCAAATGTCCCGTGACCACTTGGGCCACCGGTGCTAGGTGTTCACTTTGCTAGAGGAGACTACGAGTTCAAATTTCATAGACGACGCATGTTTCTTTAAAGCATCACAGAATTTTATAGCGAAAGAGTAACTTTTAAATTTACTGTTACATGGATTTTCGAATATCTTTCATTGTCGTACAGGTTGATATCAAATGTTGAGGGGCAACAATCTTCACGATGGTGATAGTCAAACTCAATGTCATCTTATTTTGATGAACTTTTGGGAGGACAATACCAACCACCAGCCAGCCTTGAGGTAGGGCCTCCTCGATTGGTGGGGATGGTAGATTTCCAACCATTTGGGTGGCACCGACACTAGAAATGAGAATACTTGGTAATTTAGGTTACCCAACTCCATTCTTGTGAGAAGCTTCTTTTTGGGACCAAGTTCTCAAAAGTTGAACTTTAAGCTTGGGTGCGGAATAAGCCATTATGCATACTAATGTAAAAGTTGGTTTTCGTTTCCCCAAGAATTGAGGGCATGTTTACAAGTAGCAGTTTGCCTAACAAGGAAATATATTTATTTGAAGGATAATTCTAATTATATTACATATAAAAGCTACGCTAATTTAAATACAAATCATCAAGAGAGAGAGGCAAAACACATACAAATTCTCGTCCTATACCTTTTGACTTGTTTATCACTAACTATGGACAGAGCATATACATATCGCGTTGCAGTTGTTGAATGGCTAAGAATTAGGGAAGGCCAGCTTCGCCACAGAAGGCGTCAGGCTCGAATGATCTTGCAGATTCGTCACTGTAAACTCCATGTATAACCCTATTGCCAGCTTCTTCAGTTTGGCCTCCTCCATCAATGGAAATGAGGAGCACAACGCATGAAAGTATGGCTGCCGCAAGGCATACCAGTGTGACCTTCAATCTGCCCAGCACAGGCTTAACCTGTTGAACAAAATCAAGGCAAAACAACCATCCAGTCATTTTCTTCTCCAAAAAAAGGATATTTTGTCAGCAACAAGCTCTCATTTTCATTTTCTGGAAAAAAAAATAAAGAAATCAATCTATCTGTGTAATGTCAATCACTCACAGAAAATGAACCAAGTAGCCGGTCACGAGCCAAAACTTCGGCAGTCTTCACCCACATCTGCCAAGGAAATCTCATGCAGGCCTTAACTTTGAAAAGCCAAACTTCCAACTTCTAAAAGAAATTGCATTTCTGATTCTACAAAGGCAAGCTTAAAAAAATCTATTTACCTGGCCATCGTACCATCCAGTCTCTTCATCTGTAACCAGAAAGAAGAAGAGCAGAAAACCCCATCAGCAACTCAATATCAGTCAATGACTCAAAATCAAGAACACAGTTGAAACACAGAGAGAAACAGAGCAATTACATTCAACAGTGGCGCTAAGCAAGCGATTGCCCACATAAGCCCAACCCAGGTACATCCTCACGACGGCAAGAGTGACCACAAGAAACCCACTTGAAACTACGTACAGAGACTGCTTCAAAGGCTCCGATTGGGCGCCCAAGGCACCGACCGAGGCAACCGGGAGGCCAACAAGCAGAGCAAAAGAAGACCCAGCTGCAATCAGTCGAGAGCAGTACTCTATAAGGTCGCCGGAGGCCCAGGAGAAGGGAAAGGAGGTCGACAGATTCTGGTACTCGTTTATAGGCTGCTGCTCCGGCGGCACAGGGCACCCTGTTTCCGCCGGGCTGTTGCTTCCGTTTCTGAACGAGGACGACAAGGGTATTTTGGGAATTCTACTCCAGTG